GACATTTCTGGGATTTAAGTGCCTTTGTGTATACCAGGCAAAGAAGGTTTTCTAGGTATGAGAGTAGATCTTCCTGGAAGTGGCTTTTCTTGCTTTTAGTATGGTCGGTATAACACACTCAGAGACCCCTCTTTTAACAACTTGGCTTTGACAGCCATGCTGTGAAAGCCAGAGACTGTGAAACAGGATGGAATAGAGGGCCTTGAGATAGCAGATCTTGCCTGTTGGGAAGAGGCAAAGAATCGTGTGTTAGATGTTGGAGTATGTCTGTCTGTGTGCCAGGTACTTCTGAGCTAGTTTGGTGCAATTAGAATCACCGTTTTCCTCTCTAGCTCTATCTTTTTTGAGCAGATGAGGCAGGATTTGCACTGAACTGAGAGCAGCAAATTATTAAGGCATACGAGGCTAAGGCTAGAAGAGCCTTGGTTCTTTGGTCCTGGCTGCAAACAGAGGAAGTTTCTAGTTGAATCTAGAAGCTAGGATTGTCTACAGCCAGAGTACCCTATTTTTGACATACCTGACTGAAAATGTCTGAGTGAAGGGCTCATTTCCCTTGATCCAGGGAGTGGCGTCTGAGATAGTCCACTTTCCAATTTTTCACTACTGGGATGTGGACTGCAGTGATCACTGGGTGGTGAGTTTCCACCCTTGGGTAACCGCTTGATGGCTGATGTAGACCACAGCCATGGCCTTGTATAACTGCATTTTGACTGCTCACAAAAGGGGGGGAGGAATGTTGTAGAGCCAACTGAACTGTTCTGAACTGAGGGATGTTGATTGGGAGCTTGGCCTCCACCAGTGACTAGGTTCGGTGAACAATGAGGTTCTAGAACATTTGTCTCCAGCCTGAAAGATCAGTATCTATTGTTATCATTTTCCAGTGAAAGGGAAGGAAAGAATTCCCTATGGTTAGGGCAGGGCATGAAATACACTAAAATAGGGAGTCCCTTGCTTGGCTGGACAGGAGCATGGGTAGGTTGAGAGAAGAAGCATGCCAGTTCCAGATCGACAGGATGCTGTGTTGGAGAGCTCTTGAATGGAACTGAGCAATAGTTAAACCCTTGAAAAAGGCTACAATGAGGCCTAGAACTCTCAATGAGAATCTCATTACAGGATGTCCCTTTGATCTCAATTCTCGAGCATGGACAAAATCTTCTTCTTTGGAAAGAAAACCTATGCTTGGGATGTATCCAAGACCAGACCCAATTACTCCAGGAGAAAAGAAGGCTAGAGAGCATCACAACGCGAAGCACTTTGTGAGAACATGCTCACTTCATTGCCTGTTACTGTGGACTCTGAATCTTGATGGGTGGGTTTACATTGAAGTAAGTGGAATTAACACTGGAGATGGCACAGGACAAAGGAAACTATGCAGACATTTTAACTGTATTTTTAAATACAGATGATAATATAGCTCCCAAAGTTTAGACCCATAGGAATGAAGGCTCAAAAGCCTCAGGTTGGAGTTGTGAGCAGTAGGATTATAGGTGGAACGTGGGTAAAAGAATATAATAAATGCAGTAATATTGTCAGTAACAATAGGAACACCCAATTAGGTACCATATGACAGAAGAGCAAGACCAGCTGAAAAAAAGTGTAATTTGGGCAGAAAAAAACGAAAGACAAAAATTAGTTTCTAGAGGTTTCCATCAAGTTTCAATTGCACCCTACATGTATTATATCCCTTATTTTAGTCTTCAATGCTGGAGCTGGCCTCACACATTCCTGCACAGAGATCGGCTCTTACAAAGGCTGGATGTGCAAACAGTACTGATAGGATTAATTAGTTTACACTAAATGGATAAAGTCAGATCAAACCACAAGACACAGAAATTATCCGTTTGCTGACAGAACAATGCCTCTCACTAGGTGGATGACAGACCTCTCATCTGCTCATCACATGTATGGAAATGATGGCAAAGGCCATGCAAACATATGCACATCAATCCCATTAGCTGCTATTCCAACTTCAAAGGTTTGGAAATCTAGAAGGATAAATGTTTAAGCTGGACCATTAACAAATAGGCCCACTCTTTACACTGAAAATTTTCACTGCCCATGTTATTCAAGTAATATCTAAAATACCTCTTGTAATTCATTAAAAGTTGATTTTTAAAAAAGAAAATGACTAAATGGCTTACAATATGTAGGGTGTAGGATGCTAATCAAAGAATCTGATGTTTATATGAGCTCTTTTTTTAGGTATAAATGTACTATATGATATACCAAAGATATGGTCATTTAATCATAAAAAGAGCATTGTCTTCAGTGTAACCAACTTTAAATCCACCAAATGATCTGTGGCTGTAGAAGGTACAGCACATGGTCACTGCTATTTAAAGCTGCATTGCAGGCAAACAGCTTACCGATTAGATACACCAAAGGATGTGTATTTGATTCCATTTATTCCTGAGATTTACTCCACACTGACACACTGTCAAAACCATCCTGCAGACCTGATTGTTCTCTTCTGCAGTCCAGTAATACAATTTGGTATTCTCCCCAACCTGTGACTGGAAAGTGGAAGTGGCGGAATGCACAGTTTGCATCCTAAAGTATATAGGTTGCACCATCAGACCTCTAAGTGTCAGAATATCTGAACATTACAATGATGCTGTCAATCCTAATGCGAGGAACATTTCTAATATTTCCAAGCATTTTAGAGATGTTCACTGTGGCAACATGAGTTTATTTAGATTTCATGGCATAGAGAGTGCTAAAAGACCAGCAAATGGTGGAGATGTACATCAGATCTTATTAGAGAAAGGAGCTACATGGATCTTCACTCTACAGACTGGAATTCCCTCAGGAATAAATCATAGATGGGATATATGGAATCATAGATGGGATATATAGATAAATAACAATTTGGTTATTCTTTTATTATCATTTCTTGTTAAAGTGTTACTAAACCCAGGACCCTACATTCACTATATCTGGTCTCCCACAGTACACAGAACATGGAAATGCAATTATTCTAGTAAATATAAACTGCTAAATACCTTTTTTCATCAGCAGTTAGAGCAGTCTTCTGACTTCAACTGAGCACTGGTTAAAGCTTGCAGGAGGAGTTTTCTTTCTGCACTAGGAGGATGCAAAACCCCTGACCTCTGTCTGGACAGTACTGATTGGCCTTGTGCTGATGACATGCACTCTCCCAAGAAAAAACAAAAAACTCTAGCAATACAAACTAAACTGAGCATCCACAGAAGGGCTACAGGTTCAGTCTGTCTTATCAGCGTGGACATTTGAACAAGAGGAGGGGCAGAAAAGTCAGGATCAAACAGCCTTTTTTACACAATGCAGAGGATTAGCCCCTTAGGTTCCACAGTGAGTATAACAAGCATGCCTTATTGCATATACAGAATGATTTTACTGTTGTGGGTTTAGTAACACTTTAATAATCCATCTATATGCAGCAGGTTGTTTTTGGTGAATTGTGATCTGCAGTCTGTGAATGCCTTTCTATAATATTACATCATCACTGACACAGCTTTAACAAATTAATGTCAGGATTTGTTTTATATATCGATCTCCTTCTTTCTTTCACTCGGCAGGGGGTAGGGGCCAAGAGCGCCAGCAGTGGACCCGAGAAGAAGAGGATCGGGACTGCTCTGTGCAAAACCATTGCACAGAGAAGGTAAGTATAAACCTGTTTGTTATTAAAAAAATATCCAATACAATAACTTTATTGAATAGTGCTAGAAGAACCCAACCTAGCAGCTTTCTAAACTGATGAATGCTAGTTTCTGACAGGTTGCTAGGTAGCACAGCATAATATCTTATAAATTAGCCAAATTGGATATACTGTACGTATGCTATATTTAAAGAAGTGCAATTACTCTGGTACAATTACAACAAATCATGACTTGGTATGTTATGGATAGTGAAAATCCCAAGTTTTACCATTGGGTCACATTACCACAAAGCTTTGGCTCCTCTGTGTAAATTGGATAATGGGGCTGAATCAACTAGAGTGCTGACATCACCCACTGCCTCAGGTGTTGTCTGAGGGGGAGAGAATTCCTTCCTATCAGCTGCAAGCTAACAGTAAGGAGCTGGGGCTTTGAGGTCATGTGGCTGCAGAAAAAATTCTGGAAATAAAAAAAAAAAAAAGAAGAGGTATTAGCACAGCAATTTTTGCTAACATGTATGCAGAGCAATGGGGAAGCAACATTTTAAAGTAGGCTTGTTCTTTAGCCTTTCCTTCTAATTTAAGGGATAACTAAACCCAAGAACAGAGATGTGATATTGCAGCTTGTCTGTCTTGCAGTGTGGCGTCTGCATTAGGCTCCATGCACACTGGCTTACAAATCGCTGCTTCTACAGGAGTTTTGTGTTTTGCCTGTAGAAGCAGCTCAGTGTTATCCTATGTATCCATGCACATTAGGATAATTAGAGGCATTTAGGCTCAACGTTTAGAGGCAGAAAAAAAAAGACCTTCCGGTTTGCGTTTTTGATTGGAGCTTTCTGGCAAAAAAAACACTAAACTCGCCTAAACTGTGTACAAAAATGCTCTATATCAGCGTTTGTTCTTCCAAGGGAACTGGCAGTTTTTTAAGTTTAGTGTGCATGGGGCCTTAGTTTTCCCTTTTTTTTACCCGACTAAGAACATTTGCAGTAATTATCTTGGCAAAAATGTTGTGTCCTTGTCACTTGCTGTAAGCTGACCAGAAAGCATGAAGCAATATCTTTCATCTGTAAACTACTCATCTCTCTGTTCCTATGTAATAGAAATGAATAGAGGCAAACTTGTTTAAAGGCCAGCCTAGGTGACAACCATGGCTCCCTTCATAGATACAGTGGAGAATACAAGGGCAAGAAACAGGTTATTTGCAGAAAAAACAGGTGGAAATGAAGGGAGAGAAGCCATAAAAACAAAGAAAACAAATGTAGCCACCGTATCTAAGGACTGGTGAGCTACCATACAATACATTGTTTTTGGGTCTAGCTGTGTTTTAACAGTTAGTTATAAATACAATACTTTCCAGGGTACTTACAGCTTGTATAAGTCTCTGTATTAGAATCCTGGAAGTCAAAGAAGGAGGCAGCTGTGTACTCACTATCCTAGAAAAAAACATAGAACATAAATTATTTGCTTTCAGTTTATCATTTGTTAGAAAGTTTTTATCATTTGTAAAATATAAGATACACAAATTATCATAGGAACATAGTAGGTAAATAGTAAGCATTCAGGACCGATATATTGATGTGATTGAAGGATAACAAACATTTATTTATTTCAGGTACTTATATAGCGACATCAATTTACGCAGCGCTTTACATATATATTGTACATTCACATCGGTCCCTAACCCTCAAGGGGCGTACAATCTAAGGTCCCTAACTCACATTCATACATACACATACTAGGGCCAATATAGACAGGATCCAATTAACCTACCAGCATGTCTCTGGAGTGTGGGAGGAAACCGGAGTACCCGGAGGAAACCCACGCAGGCACAGGGAGAACATGCAAACTCTAGGCAGGTGGTGCAGTGGTTGGGATTCGAACCGACGACCGTGTACTGCCAGGTGGAAGTGCTAACCATTTAGCCACTGTGCTGCCCCAAACATACTCAGATAAAAAAAATGTAATAATAGTGATATCAACTTACAACACAAAAGAATATCTGTATCAACAAAAACTCACAAATTATTATCACAATTTATGTAAAAATATGCTACAATTTGATGTTCTTTGGAGAAAAAGATCATCCACAAACATTTTCCCTGGGCCCATTAAAAAGTTTTATGAAGCTTTGTCCCGGTCCTGGAATTTTCTGTTAAATTGATGAGCTAAAGCAGCAGGCTGAGTAGTCTGATGGTGCTCTTAATGTTTGAGTAAGTACCTTATTTTAGCTGTATTTTATTTGTATTGTTTATACAATGGCTTCAGTCCTTTGTGTCACTGACCTGGAACAATTAAGCAGAAATTCTGAGTTTTGCATACTGCATACCTGGTCAGTGGCTTGGAAATGTTCAAATCCAAAAGATCACCATGACAGCTAGGCAACTATCATTTTCAAAAGAATGCAAGCAACGGTAGCCTCCATATTTCTCTCAGCACAGATTTATTTTACATTCCACCGTACAGAACAAGATGTCTACATAACATGCTCTATTAACAAAAGTTAAAGGATGTTTGCCTTACCGATTGTTATACATAATGCAGCCAGCCAGGACATGAGGGAAGCGCTGACAAGTCTGCAGAATGAGTGCAGCCTTCAGTAAAAGAAGCGGATCCACCTGCATAACATAATGGGGTAAGAATGATCGGCTAACAAAATTATATTTATATTTTTACACTGCATAGACTTCTGACATATTCATTAGTGAAGCTTGTGAACTGTCCCCCCTCCCATGTTTGCATACAGCATAGTATTGGCTGGTCCCCTGTTTACAGACATGGCAGCTTGTAATCAGTATAAAGAACATCAGCTTCAACAGGAGCTTCATGAGTAAAAATATTGAAGATTACATCCACTGACTATTAGTTACTAATAATCACAGAATGTAAAGGTCATTGTCCTGAACTGGAAGTAGCTTTACATGTTTAACGCTACTTGACCCTGAATAAAATCTGCTAAAGGGTACAGTCAAAACTTTAAGAAAACTGCTGGAAACTTGTTTAAAGCATTTAAATGCTTACTGAAGCCAATATGCCAATTAAATATTGCCTTTGTGCTTAGGGCATTACATGCAAATAGTCAGGCTTCAGTTAAAAGAAACAACCATACAGATTGAAGGATTTGAAGGCTAAGTTCATCTTATAGGAAAATATAATAAAAGCACATATTTTTGCAGAAAAAAAAAATGTGCATTTATTATTTTTTCCACTAAGAGCCTGCAAAGCATTGCACTCACAATCACTGAATGTCAGGCTCTTGCAGTCACTTACTCCAACTTTCTTGCCCGAACCTCTGTACAGGCTGGAGGAAGTGTCAACAAACTTCATTAAGAACTACAATCTGTCTGCTGTGATGACAGACGGGACTTTTATTTTCTTCATTCACAGATTCCTGTGAATGAATGTGTGGCTGTGCGAGCAGAGACCCTCAGAGCCGCACGGATTTTAAAACATGACAGCAGTTGTGGGGAGAGGATCCCCCACTCACTGTCACAGGGGAGAAGGTGAGGGTGGTTGAGTAGGACACGTGCTGGAACAGATTACATGCTACACCCTAAATAAGGGTGTAATATATTTCAAAGGTGAACTTAGCCTTTAAAAATGCATTTTTTTGTGGTTAGACATTGTCATGGATGTAAATGTATTTTCATAAGGCTACTTATAACGTGTCCACACATGGCATATGTAAAATTTAATGACTGTCCTGACACTTTCTAGTACAAAACAGTCACAGCTGTGAAAAAATGTTATCCCAACATAAGAACATAGATATCATCAATAGGGTTTACAGTAAATATAATTATGCAACAATGTTGACAGTTATTTAAAAGCCAGCTCTGGGTTGCTACAGTAACAGGTTAGGAAGTTTGCCAACTGAGCATTGTTCCTTGTCCCTGGGCAAAGAGCCATATGCCAGAAAGACTGATAACCACTGCTTCACTGCCAATATCTGTAATAGAGATGTTTAACAAATCTATCATTTCAGCAAGCTGAAAGGAAAGGCAGTGCATGCATAGCATCAACTATAATCTCCAGAGCTCTTTACAAAGAAGAATATGGCTTAGTCAGTTCCTGGGGATGATAGTCCAACATAACTGGAACCCATACTTTGGTTTTGTCCACATGGCTGAGGGAGTTGAAGATTCGGTGTAACTCAGGAGTGTTCTGCATGTGTTCCAGGTAAAGGTTCCATTCCTCGCTCAGCTCTGCCTGAGAACGGACCTGAGAGGAAACTAAATAGTGTTAAAAACAGATTACAACTACTGAATACTGCTAAAGCTGGTCATACACTACACACTCTGATTGTACACACTCTGTATAATCTCCTTTTTTACCAAAACTATGTCACAGAAAGACATACCTAAACAACCTATTTAATTTGTAGGCCCTTGCACAACATAGTTGAAGGTAGATCTAAAGTAGATTGTTCAATCAGATTGTGTAGACACAGTCACCTTAAAGCGGAGCTCCACCCAAAAGTGGAAGATCGGCTTTAAAGACTGGTTCCCCATTCCCCATTAAGGACTGGCACCTTTGGGGAGCAGGTACCTGAAATGGTCAGGTACCCACTCCCACTGCAATCGCCTAGGTGATCAGAAGCGGACGTTGTCTTCCCCCCCTCCCTCCTGTAGTCTTCTGGGACACATGCCAGGTCCCAGAAAACTACGGGACCATTCAGAAAGTGCAGCGCTACTTGCGCATGCGCAGTGGGCACTCGGCTGCGAAGCCGCGAGCTGTCACAGCCGTGTGCCCACAGTGAAGATGCTGGCGCTGGGAACACAGGGCGGCTGATGAACTGGACTGTGGATGGAACACAGCGGGATCGAGGGACAGGTGAGATGCTGGTTTTTTTCAAAGTCAGCAGCTCCAGTTTTTGTTGCTGCTTTTATTTTTTTCACAGCGTGACTGGAACTCCGCTTTAATCCTTATAGTCAACATTTTTATTACATATATCACTTAATAAAAATTGCGTCTGGATCCTTCGGGATAGCTTTTATATCTACTATCCTGCTATTGATGGATACGTGTTAATCTTTAACCACTAGCCTACAGGGCACTTCCTGCCCAGGCCAATTTCCAGCTTTTAGCGATTTGCACTTTGAATGACAATTACGCGGTCATGCAACACTGTACCCATATGAAATTGTTATAATTTTTTGTGACAGATAGAGCTTTATTTTGGTGGTGGTGGTTTTTTTATTTTTTTCTTAAACCAAAAACCACTGAAAATTTGGAAAAAGAAACGTTTTTTTTCTTAGTTTTTGTTAAACAATTTTGTAAATAAGTGATTTTTCTCCTTCACTGATGTGCGCTAATGAGGCTGCAATGATGGGCACTGACTGATAGGCTGCACTGATGGGGCATTGACAGGCATCACTGATGGGCACTGAAAGGCAGCACTCATATATGGCACTGATGCACACTGATAGGTGGCACTGACTGGCACTGATAGGTGACACTGATTGGTAGCACTGATAGGTGGCACTGACTGGCATTGATAGGTGGCACTGATGGGTGACATTTAACCACTTCCCGACCGGCCGTTGCATATAAACGGCCGGACGGTGGCACTGCAGGGTCGGGTGGCCGTTTATAAACGGCCTCCCCGCACCCTGCTTGTGCGCGCTCCCTGGGAGCGCGCAGCACCACTATCCGGTGCCCGCTGTGTCCTCTGGACACAGTGAAACACCAATCGTCGGATGGGACCTCTGTACGAGCTCCCGATCATGTGATCACTGATTGGCCAATCAGTGATCACATGCAAAGTAGTAAGCAAGATGTCACTTGTGACATCATTGTTTACTACGTGTGAAATCTGTGAATGATCACAGAGGTCACATGGTACAAGGCTATTCACAAAAGCCTTGTACCATGTGACAAGCTGTGACCAATCACAGCTCACTCAGTACTTCTCAATGAGTGCAAGAATGCACACAGAGAGAAAGAGAAATGATTGCTTTTACATCCTATATGAGTGTAAAAGCAATCAGTGTAAAAAAAAAAAAAAAAAAAATCTTCATCACCCCCCACAAGTAGTACAGTGTCACCATGGTGACACTGTACTGCTAGGGTGACAGTATGTAAAAAAAAAATAAATAAAAAAAATAATATAAAAAAATAAAATAAAAATGTAAAAAAAAAATGTTTAAAAATTATAATTTTTGCTTATAAACTAATTTGGATTTTTTTTTTTTTTTACTAAAAAGATAACGGAATAAATTTTGGCTAAGATTTATGATGAAATATTATTTATTTGCAAAATTTTATAAAAAAAAACACTTTTTTTTCAAAATTTTTGGACATTTCATTTACATAGCAAAAAAAAAATACAAATCCCAGTGGTGAATAAATACCACCAAAATAAAGCTTTATCTGTCTCAAAAAAATGGTAAAAAATTCATTTGGGTACAGTGTTGCATGACCGCGCAATTGTCATTCAAAGTGTGATAGCGCTGAAAGCTGAAAATTGCCCTGGACAGGAAGGGGGTAAAAGTGTCCGGTCTGGAAGTGGTTAACAAGATCAGGGGTAGCACTAAAAGCCTAATTGGTGTTGTAATCCAGGGCTCAACAAATTGTAGGCGTCAGTTTGCCACAGTGACCAGGAATTGCGACCTGGTGCCCTGGCAGCCACCCACTGAGCTCCTCACCTTCTCTCCTCCATTGGCCGAGTATGACATGCCTACCTTACGTGGGGGAGCGAAGATTTGGCACCGTCAGCCTCTCCCCTCTGCATTGGCCAGAGCTTCCTGCCTGCCCCCTTTTCAACCTCCCCCAATTGGAAGGAGAGCTGGAGACGGCAACTTCTCCCATTGGCTGTTCAGGAAGATGGTGAGGATTGCGCATGGAAGAGCTGACAGTGAGCCTTGGCTCTGCCAGACGGCCAAGAGTGACCTTGTTGAGCCCTGCAAGTAGGGCAGCCCGAGGTGGGGGGACTCAGGAGCTGGCCAAACTTTAGAATTATGTGGCTGGGTGGACAGAGCCCTGCAGCTCTGAGATGCTAAAAACTTTTAAAAAAGGTGAAAACAAGTATTTTAAATTAAAAAATGCAATTGCTCAAATACACGTGCTTTAGCTAACAAAGGGGTTGATTTACTAAAACCGGAGAGTGGAAAATCTGGTGCAGCTGTGCATAATAGCCAATCAGCTTCTAACATCCGCTTGTTCAATTAAGCTTTGACAAAAAAAAACCTGGAAGCGGATTGGTTTCGATGCAGAGCTGTACCAGATTTTGCACTCTCCAGTTTTAGTAAATCAACCGTAAACATCACTAATTTAGGGTTTACATCTAACGTATGCTGTGAATGATCAGTCTGATTCACTCATTTCTTATTCACCATAAAATACATGTTATTCAAGATTACATCCTGAGCTATGGAAATGCATTGTAGGACAGCTCCATGCTCTCCACTATCAGGAAGAGGAAAAACAGCAGGGTGTGTTTGGGTGGTGAAGCAGGCATGCTGAATTTTTTTTTTGTTCCATTCCTGCAAGCATTATGGATGTAGGAACAGCTCTGCTGTGCTACTGTATTCTGACAGTGGGGACTATCCCCCACTCCAACAGAATACACTGATTGGCGCTCCAGCGGCTGATCTAATGCTGGTTTTGCATTCTAATGACCAGCTTCTGTTGAATAGAGGGCTACACACAGATTGAAATTTGACTGAAGGTATCAGTTACCTTATATGGCTAGCAGATTATGTCCCAGCATTCCAATAGAATAATAAATCACAGTCACTGAACTGTATTACAAAAAAAGTCCAGCAGATACACCCTGTTCCAAATTATTATGCAAATTCTATTTTATGCAGGCCATAGACGGGTCGAAAATCGGCCGATTTTTTTTAAAAAAATGAAAAATCGGTCTTTCAATCGGCCGATGTTACCAGCAACGGTAAAAAAAAAAAATCGTCCAATTTTCATTCCGTCTACAGCCGGCAAAAAGTGTCCCTGCAGAGAGCTCCGCTATTTCTTTGACAGTTCCTTGACATTTATAGCGGTTGCAACAATGTATCTATTTGTATCCATTTAGGATACAGATGTTTTTATTCAGAAACAAATAGATACATTGTTGCATTGTTGCTGTCTGCAGGGACACTTTTTGCCGGACTGGAATTCCTCTTCTTCTTCATCTCTCTCTTCTTCTTTTTCTTCATCCTCTTCTTCTTCATCTTCTCTTCTTCATTTCATCTTCTTCATCTTCCTCTTCTTCATCTTCCTCTTCTTCATCCTCCTCTTCTTCTTCTTCTTCATCCTCTCTCTTCTTCATCCTCCTCTTCTTCTTCATCCTTCCTCTTCTTCTTCTCTCTTCCTCTTCTTCTTCATCTTCCTCTTCTTCTTCATCTTCTTCAGCTTCATCCTCCTCTTCTTCATCCTCCTCTTCTTCATCCTCTCTTCTTCTTCTTCTTCATCATCCTCTTCTTCTCTTCCTCTTCTTCTTCTTCCTCTTCTTCTTCATCCTCGTCTTCTTCATCCTCGTCTTCTTCATCCTCGTCTTCTTTTATCCTCGTCTTCTTCATCCTTCTTCTTCATCTTCTTCATCTCTTCTTCTTCATCCTCGTCTTCTTCTTCTTCTTCTTCATCCTTGTCTTCTTCTTCTTCATCTTCTTCATCCTCCTCTTCTTCTTCTTCATCCTCCTCTTCTTCTTCTTCATCCTCCTCTTCTTCTTCTTCTTCTTCTTCTCCTCTTCTTCTTCTTCATCCTCCTCTTCTTCATCCTCTTCTTCTTCTTCATCCTCTTCTTCTTCTCCTCTTCTCTTCTTCTTCTCATCCTCTTCTTCTTCTTCATCCTCTTCTTCTCTCCCCTTCTCCTTCTTCCTCTTCTTCTTCATCCTCTTCTTCATCCTCTTCTTCTTTTTTCTTCTTCTTTTTGTCTTCCTCTTGCAGGTCACTGCTCATGCGCAGATTTTTTTATCGGTAAAAGATCGGCCAATTTGCCCATCGATGCTGCGAAAATCGTCCGATCGGCACAATCAGCCGATTTTTTTCCAACTTTACCGATAAAAAAAATTGCCAAAATACCAAAAAACGGCCGAACATTTAGCCCACTAACGATCCGAAAATCGTCCGACTTTATTATCGCCAATTTTCGACCCATCTATGGCCTGCATAAGTGTCACAAAGATGAAATATTTTGTTTTTCAGTTTAACTCATGGATGGCATTGTGTGTCAGGGCTCTTTTGATCACTGAAAACAATCTCGGACACCTGTGATAATTATTAACCCTGGTGTTCTGTATTGCTTAATCATATCTAGCTACTCACACATAACACTACATGAAGGTGAATTTTTTTAAGATGATTTACCTAACAAATCAACAGACACAAGTACAGTTCTATCTGATATAAAACACATCATTTGTATTTTAGGCTTCTTTGTACACTTGTTACCATGTATTCCATGCACCCCACCCACAACATGGAGATGGGAACATAACCTAAAGCTCCAAGCAGCAATGTAAAACTGTCAACCAGCTGCTCTCTAGCAAAAATATACTTACCTGATAAGCATGCCATAAGGGTCCATTATAGAGCCGGAAGAGCCCAACAAGATCCTCCAGAAAACACTTGCAGCTGACATCAGCAACATCCACTGAGCATCCAAGTGCCTTTAACAAGAAAGTAAACAATGAGGCAGAGCTGGTGCCGTGATCAAATCTAGAAAGTCTGTAACATATTATCAGGAACAATGTACACTGTGATGAGAGGTACCTACAATAATTGTCCAACTGCTTTTACAATCTAAAACCTGGATGTTTAGCCCTTCTAGACTACCTTCCAAGTCACTTCATCAATTTGTATGTTAGGTCACCCCCTAACACTACCCGCTTAGAGCCCATTCACCAGTGCGATACAGTAATGCATGTTGATGCAATGCGGTGCCATCAATTTTGAATGGCACTTCAACAAGCAGTAATGCATTACCATTGCAGTGCACTGCTGAAAATCTCTGATTTGTTGTGGCAAGTTAGGTAGGCCATTCTAATAAATGGGATGCCTTGGCACCTCTGCGTATGTTTAACACACCACAGCTGGTGTGAATGGGCCCTTATTTTACTCCTCAGTGTTTATCTGCCCTAGGTAGACTTTAAAGGAAATACATTTCTTTCCAAAGAGATGCCCAGTAAAATGTAAAATCTTCTCTCTGCATAATATCCCTCTGTGCAGTAATAATGAGTCATTCAATTACACATTTTATATTGTGCCACCTTCTGGTGAAGTTTTTGAAGTGCACTGCAGCCAACCAGTACTTTATATTATATATTGTGTATACCCACTATGGTAGGGAATGTAGATATACTATTATTATTATACAGGATTTATATAGCACCAACAGTTTACTCAGCACTTTACAATATAATGGGAGACAATACAGTTCAATACAAAAGGGATAGGAGGGCCCTGCTCCTTGGAGCTTACAATATACTAGGCTTTACTTTCTTCTGCTCACTTTACCACTTGAGCTCCAGAAGGTTTTACCCCCTTCATGACCAGGCCATTATTTCCCATTAAGCACTGCACTGCTTTAACTGGTAATTGCATGGTCATGCAACGCTGTATCCAAGCAAAATTTATGGCATTTTCCACACAAAAAGAGCATTCTTTTGGTAGTATTTGATCACCACTGGGTTTTTTTTTTTACTTTTTGAAATACAAACAAAAAAAATACTATAGGATACATATTAGAATTTCTATTTATTTTTATACTGCTAATGGCGATGATCAGCAACTTATAGTAGGACTGCGATAGAGCAGCAGGCAATCTGACACTGACGGTAAGGAGAACTAACTGCCCCTGACATCTCCAGTGACACTAATACAGTGATCAGTGATAATACCATACATTGTCACTGTACTAATGACACTGGCTGGGAAGGGGTTAATATCTAGGGCAGTCAAGGGGTTAAATAAGTGCCTAACAATTGCGTAAGGGGTGTATTATGTGCTGATTTTATGCAAAGATAGTCAACACAGGACTCTAGGCTGGAATTGTACACAGTCGATAAACAGGTCCCAGCCAAGAATCACTGGCCAGGACCTGCTGACAGACTCCCACTGTGTACAATCACAGCAGGAGTAGGCTGGTGTAAACAGGCAGCGACGTACCAGTACATAGTTTTGCCTCTAGCTGCCGCCCCGCTATGTATGTACTGTAGCGAGAAGCGTTTAAACTATAGTTAGAACCACATTAAGACAAGGACAGAACTTGTCTGTACAACTGATAGACCCTGCTTAAATAAGAGTTTTATCAAGATATAAACTTTCACATAAGCTGCTGATTCTGCACTGCTTCCCCAGCATTACTACTCTGGCTGAAATTAGTTAGTAAATTTGTACTTAAATGAGAAGTAAAGGATTTAAAAAAAAAATAAATTCACATACTCACTTCCATGGTGCAACATTGGTGTGATGCTGCAGCTGTCCCACTTGGGCTCTAAGATTGAGAACTGAATGACTACATCACGGGTGATCGCTCAGTTTTCCGTCTGCTCAGTGTGGAGAACAAGTTACTGCCAGTCTTCACTCTTTGCTTTGCCTCTCCAGTGCTCACTGGAGTGCCAGGCTGGGGAGGGGACAGGAGCGGCTGGCCGAGAAGTGGAGCCAACAGTTAATCAGGCAGCCAGGCTGATCCTGACTGTCGAGATGCTTTCCAAACCTGGAGCAGCCCTGCTCCATTATAGTGGGCAGTAGCCAGCTATAAACTGACTCTGGGTCACAGGAGGACAAAAGAAATTGTAGCTTAGGCCATACTTTCTTTTCTTTTTTTAAAAGCACATCATCGCCTACCAGTGAAGGTGTTTGCTAGTTATGAGGAACAAATTTTGCCATTTCTACATAAGGTGTATACTGAGGCCCTCATTTCCCAGCGACATCCTCTTTCATGTTCCAGGGCACAAATTATTTAATTGCTGAAACCTGGAAGATCCACTAGAACCTGACTCCATTAGGCCCATCTCTTTATTACAGTGTGATATTAAGATCCTTGCCAAAGTACTAGCCCTTCGGGTAAAAACAGTTATTTCTTCCATTATCCACCCAGATCAGGCAGGATTTATGCCACACAAATCCACTGCTGTCAATTTACGACAGCTATATATGAACATGCAAATCCCATTCATAAAACATGGGACAAAGGGCTCTACTATCATTTGATGCCAATAAGGCTTTTGACAACATTGAATGGCAGTACTTGCGGGCAGTGCTAGACAAATTCGGGTTTGGTAAAGTTTTAACCTCCTGGGTTCGTCTCCTATACTGTAAGCCTCAGGCTGCAATCAGAGTGTCAGGTAGAGTTTCAGCCCCATTCACCTTGGACAGAGGAACCCTACAGGGCTGCCCACTATTGCCCCCTTTATTTGCCCTTGGCATTGAGCCACTGGCTGCTTTTATTCACTCTAGTCCTGATATCACTGGCCTTCAATACGGCCCCTTGCATGAGAAAGTCATGTTATATGCCGATGACATGATATTGATGCTTAGAGACATGTCATCATCCTTACAAGCAGTCATGGACATCATTGTTAAATTTAGGACCTTTTCAGGCCTAACTATTAATTGGACCAAATCTGCCCTGATGTTACTAGATGGGGATGCAGATGAGCCCGTGGCTCACTCCTGCCCAATACCAATCACTACTAAGTTTAAATACTAAGGAATTATAGGTTACCCCGGTCCTTGCAGATTTTTGTAGGCATAAGATTTCTCCACTCTTTACTCGATTTCGAGATAAAAACTAAAATCTGGTCCAAGTTCAATATGTCTGTAGTGGGTAAAACAAACCTGATCAAGATGATCCTTATGCCGCAGCTTCTTTATTTTTTGCACAACAACCCTGTTGTAATCCCATTAAAAACTTTTAGACTCGTGAATTCCATTTTCTGCGCCTCCACGATGATGGTGGCCTTGTTCTCCCCAGCGACATGCTGTTAAGAGTGATGGGGGATACTCCTGGCAGGAGTCCATCACCTATGCCACTCTTTGACCTGATTTTTACTGCCAAATCCTCTAGGTTACTGTTCCACACTTTGATTTTAAGCTCTTGAATGAACATCTTAATAAGTACCCCCTAAAGGTTTTGGCACTGTGGGAAAGAGACCTGAGGTCCATGTCAGGTGATCAATGGGAAGAGGCCTTTGAGGCTGTTACCACTTGTTCTCTTAATGAGTCTCAAAAGACTGTCACAACTATATATTCTACTCAGAGTGTATTATACCCCACTGTGGCTGCATAGAACGGGTATTTAGCCAGATCTCCTTTGTCCCAAAATGCCAATGCGACTATGGAGATCTATTCTGGTGTTGCCCCAAACTTCATCTATATTGGAAGGGGGGGGAGGACACCATTAACATGGTGTTCCAAGCTACAATTCCACTAGACCTAAATGCTGTCTGTTGAGTATATTGGGGGATGTTGAGCCTAGAGAATGTATCCGTGTAGCTATTTCCAGAGCTCTATTTGTGGCACCTAAATTACTTTTGATTTCTTGGAAATGCAATTGTCAGGTAAAGGAACGCAGAGCCGTAACGCAAAAAATGGCCTGGTCAGGAAGGAGGGTAAATCCTCAGGAGAGCAATTGGATTAAAAAAAAAAAAAAACTCCTAACTCCCAGAGAGAATGGATTCATTTTCTGGGTAACTCCTTGAGATTAGAAAAATATATATACCAACAAAGGGGATGCCTTGGCAAATTTTGGGCTTTTTGGGTTGAGACCACTGGATCTGGTTAAAATGCGAATCCTGCGAGGCCCTTCAGGCTAATGTTTATGTTTCAGTTTGCCATTTTTGTATGTACTTGATATAGTTACTTATAACCTGTAACATGTATGTGGTGTAAAGCCAATGCTTCAATTCTTTGACTATGTAGTTGACTGCATGATGAGACGTTTTCTTTTCTGTAATGGGGGCTCTGTAGCACAATACTGCTGTAATATTTCTCTTCTATTTGGGTTAAAAAAAACTCTTTTTAATTTTTAATATTAAATAATAAATGCACATTTTTTTTCAGGTAAAAAATGTGCATTATTTTTGTCCAAAAGGAGCCTGTAAGGAATTGCACCAGCGATCAGCTGATGCCATGCAGCACTCCTGCAGACCTGTCAGAATATCTGCTTGCCGTACGGAATGTACGTGCAAGCAGATATTCTCACAGGAAGCTTCAATAAACTACCATGGCGCTCCACAGTGCTGTGGTAATTCATTGAAAGCTACAAGCCAGCAGCTAAGGTTGTCGGGACTTGCAGTTCATTCATTCACGAAAGTCCGTGAATGAATGACACGGTCGCGTGGGTGGAGGCCGCACTGTTTTCAAATCTGACAGATAGTACGGAGAAACTTCTGCCCATACTATCTGTCAGAGAAAGGGGGGGCAGCGGATGTAGCTGCAGCTATGGGAACATGTTACATGTTCCACCCTAAAAACAGGTGGAACATGTAACGTGTTCCCAAAGGTGAACCTATCCTTTAATTAACCACTTGTCTACTGGGCACTTATACCCCCTTCCTGCCCAGGCTAGTTTTTAGCTTTCAGCGTTATCTCACTTTGAATGACAATTGTACGGGCATGCAACATTGTACCCATATGAAATTGTTATAATTTTTTTTTTCACACAAATAGAGCTTTATTTTGGTGGTATTTCATCACCACTGGGTGTTTTATTTTTTGCGCTATAAACAAAAAAAGAGCAAAAAAATTGAAAAAAAAAAAAAAAAGTTTTTCTTTGTATCTATTATAAAATTTTGTAAACAGGTAATTTTTCTCTTTCACTGATGTGCGTTGATGAGGCTGAACTGATAGGCAGTACCGATGGGCACTGATAGTCGGCACCGATGGGCACTGATGACGTGGCACGAATAGGCAGCAGTGATGGGCATTGAGGAGATACTGATAGGCAGCACTGATAGGAGGCACTGATGAGGTGGCATTGATGATGCTGCACTGATGGGTGGCACTGCTGGGCACAGGTGGGTGGCACTGCTGAGTGACACAAGTGAGTGGCATTGATGGGCACAGGTGGGTGGCACTGATGGAGGTGGATGGCATTTATGGGCACAGATGGGTGGCACTGATGGAGATGGGTGGCATTGATGGGCACAGGTGGGTACAGGAGGGCAGCACTGATAAGCACAGGTGAATGGCACAGGAAGGCAGCACTGATCATCAGTACTGATCCCTTCGCTGACAATTGCCGGTTCTCGGCAGTACTTTTCTCACGCTGTATCAGAGTGAGGAAAGTGCAGCTGATAACCGGCAACTGTATTTACCCGGTGATCGCTGTGTCATTGGACACAACTGATCATGTGGTTAAAAACTGCCATGATTGGCCGTTTACCGTACCATGTCATCAGCTGTCTGTAGGACACAGCGATCACCGGCGGGGCCGGGTGCACGCCGCTGGGGGCGCGCAGGGGGGCATGTCCTGGAATGACGTCTATGGACGTCATCCCAGGATTACATATCCATGCTGCAGCCGTCCTTCAGCTATAGCGCGGTTGGGAACCACTTAAACAGCACATATAAATTGTACTGGTAAACTCATATAGTACCCATAAAAAAGGGAGAAAAAAGTATTTGCACTAGCTATTCAAACAAAGCACACTCACCCACAAATACTCGCCATGAACCTGAATAGCAAATTTCAGCTTCCGCAGCCTGATGAGGTTCGGAGGAGACTTTGAAATTTCGGTCATGCAGCGAACAACCCCAGCAATCTGTCCACACAGTAACTCTTGCTGGTCAATACATGTCTAAAAAGCAGAGATGGTGGTAATGTGTTTAGGTGAAGCTATTGAAAAAGCCAATACTACTAAATAAAAGGAGATAAAAAAAAGTTTAAGACAGCATTTTTTATATTGTGGCTTATATTATTCACAAAAGCATTTAAAAGGATAACTACAGCAAATATTTTTTTTTTATATAAAATTTAAGATAGAGAGGGGGTTTAGTGTTAGAACCTGCTAAGTTCCTGTAATTCCCCTCCATGTCACTTTGTCAAGGAGGTGAAAAGAAATCTTCCCCAAGAGGGCAGTAATAAAAACTTGCCAAATGTTCTAACCATTACCCCACTACCCAGCAAGAAAAAAGATGAAATAAATTGGGCTTTCAACTCCACATTGTGTATTCTCTAGCAACACAGTAGCAGTAAATAAACCTGCCTGGTTAGCAAATCTTGTTAGTATTAGATTGTAAGCTCTTATGAGCAGGGTCCTCTTAACCCTCTTGAATTGTATTGTAACTGTACTGTCTCACTTTATATTGTAAAGCACTGCAAAAACTGTTGATGCTTTATAATAATAATATTAACAACAATAATAATATTTCCTAGCTGAACAAAATTTCTTAGATTAGTATCCATTGCATTTTCTTCCAATGTTTTCTTGGATTTCTTTCCACAAAAAAAAAATACATACAGTACTTTTGATTTATTTTCAGAAAAAAATGATTTTACAAGGAAATATGTTGCCTCATAAAAGAAAAAAAAAAAAAGTTAAAAACTCCACAATGCCTAAGAAGATCTAAAATTAAACATCCTGTTACTCTTTAGCAGTCAATGAATATCCTCATTCAAAACAAAGAAGTTCATTTATCAGTACAGTTGCATGCATTGCTTAGATCAGAACATGAAATAAACTACTCATGTATTTTCATTACATCATGAGAGCAGAGCGCCATCTGGTGGAAGAATGGTCACAATGTTAAAAGTCGTTTTCTTTATACTTTGCAATAATGAGATGTAGTGAATTGCAAAAATAGACAGGTAGTCACCTGGAAATGTCACTCAGAGGCAGGGGCAGACTGACCATTTGGAAACTCGGGCACTGCCCGAGGGCCCGGGGTCAGTAGGGGGCCCCATGAGATGCCCCTGGTACCTTTTTCATAGGCGTTTTTGAGTTTGGGCATGGACACGGACCCCATGATCCCCTATTGCCCAGGGGCCCCATGAGTTGTCAGTCCACCCCTACTCAGAGGTATTGTATATACTATATGCCTCTCTTGGTGTCAATATTTTCTTTACACAAGCAGCAAGTAGGGAGATTAGAGAATGGGAAAAATAAAGTATGTAGAACATGAGGAGTAGGAAAGTAGGATTTGTAGAAAAGATCAGAAAAAAACAAAAAAAACAATGATGTATATTTTCCACAAAATACTGTTTCTGTAAAGAAATGCCACTCTATTTCTATGAAATACCCTGTAGCCAGATACAGCAAGAACGTCGGGGCAATCCTGCAGCCTCATGTCCTATGGTTCTGTTTTATGCAACTAACAAAGTGATTCTGCTGCATTTCCAAATAAACAAAAGGCATTCACGCAAAGAAAACAATACTTACCTGTCCTACTGCTGTGAGGAAGATCCAAGCCTGCTGAAGAATGCTGACAGTTTGATACTCCAAAAGTCTGTCACTGGCATTCCACCAACTACTATACCACTGTGGGACACAGTAGTGACAACAGGGCTGTCACAAGGAATCACAGTGGAACAGAGAACCAGTCATATGACATCTGAAACGTGCCAGATGTGAACATCATACCATCTTCTTTACTGATGCCATCAGGGGACTCCTGTCTCCTCCAGGTTCTTGCAGTTGGCCTCCTAGTGACACGCACGCATATCACCACCAGGGTCAAGCGGCAAGAACCAGGAAGAGACAGCTTGCCATTTGATGACTTGCAGCGGCACATGCGCTGTTGAGTTCCCTAAGGTGTCCTGGCATGCATGACATCAGTATCGCAGGAGGCTGAGGGTACCAGTGTACATCATTCTCACCTAGCCCAGAATTCTAGTGTGGGATGGACAAGAAAAAAAAAAAAAAGCTATGAAAAGAATTGTAAGCTCCAAGGAGCAGGGCCCTCCTAACCCTCTTGTATTGAACTGTATCGTTGCTGTATTGTCTCCTGTTATATTGTAAAGTGCTGAACAAACTGTTGGCGCTATATAAATCCTGTATAATAATAATAATTATTATTGAGAGAGGCAGAGAGTAAGATGATGGAAATGGGTGAAGAGGTTGCAGGCCTGCTTTAAGAAAAACTACTCTGCAATGGAAAAGCCCTTATGTGGTAATCTGTGTCCCTTACCTTCACACAGTCTCAATGCTGCAGCCTCTGTTAGACTCTTCAGCCCTGGGCACTTCTGGCAGCGTTAAATGCCTGTGCCCTCCCATTGTGCACAATGGTTCCATCATCTGACTCCTATATTCCCTGGTCTCCTCCTCCCATGCCCGTCTCCAGGACTTCTCTAGGGCTTCTTCCATCCTCTGGAACTCCCTACCCCAATCCATCAGACTATCACCTACTCTCCTCTCCTTTAGGCGCACCCCTGAAAACCCATCTCTTCATGGAAGCCTACCCCACCCCCCTGCTAATTGCCAACCTCCTCCACTCTTCCTACCACTCCATCCCCCACAGCTATTCCTCCCGTACCACTATCCCCTCCCTCCTAGATTGTAAGCTCCAAGGAGCAGGGCCCCCGAACCCCTCGTGTATCGCATTGTTTTGTCATTGTACTGTCTCATGTATTGTCTCCCATTGCAATGTACAGCGCTGAGCAAACTGTTGGTGCTATATAAACACTGTATAATAATATATCACTGTAGTCCTGAAGTAATGCAATGCTTGCGTATGGTATCTTGGCAAGCAGTTAATTTAAAGTACGCCTGTTACAAAATTAAAGCAACCCTCTACAAAAGGCTGCAAATGTCTTTAAATCAACACTAAAAACCTGGAAATATACATCAATTAATGTAAATACTGACTTTCTGAAAATCAACTAGGCATGCTTAGGTCCACTTTGTAGACAAGCACTCACAAAAAGGTAGATCAGGCACCTGAACACTTTATACGGACATTTACAGTATATACCCTATAGTGTCAACTGCAAAGGGTCGCTTTTCATTTAGATCTGCTTGAACCCTCTCTAAAATCCATCAAGCAGTTCAGAATTCCTGGTGTGCATGTTCATTGGCTCACTAATTAGTATCTACATAGCACAAATTAACAATTAACCAGAGAGCTGGCCTGCTGCACTACAGCTACACTTGACTGTAAAACAGACCCCAATGCACATAGACTGCCTGTGCAAACATCAATGGTTGCACTTTTTTATTTTTAACCACTACATGTCACTCCTGTTCTTCTCCACAGTTGCTTTTTTTTCTACAGTTTTGTTTTTTTCTTAAATCTAATTTTTTGCAACACTGCCTCATATTAGGCCTCTACAATGCCAATGACATCTGTAATTTGTATAGAATTTTGCAGATAATGTTGATTACCTGAGGGGGGTAAAAGTAATTAATTCCAGCCCTTGTGGGGTCACCTTCCTCTTTCACTTTTGAACCATCGTAAAGAAAGAAGTAACTCAACCTGCAATTATATCAAAAAGAAAAATGATCAGCAAACTACACTCACCGACCACTTTATTAGGTACACCTGTTCAGTTGCTTGGTAACACAAATTGTTAATCAGCCAATCACATGGCAGCAACTGTATACGTGGTGAATGATTCGCAGTTCAAACTGAGCATCAGAATGGGAAAGAAAGGGGATTTAGGTGACTTTGAATGTGACATGATTGTTGGTACCAGACAGGCTGGTCTAAGTATATCAAAAACTGATCTACTGGGATTTACACGCATGACCATCTCTAGGGAAATCAAGACTCATCAGACCAGGCAACGTTTTTCCAATCTTTTAGTGTCCAATTTTGGTGAGCCTGTGCAAATAGTAGCCTCCGTTTCTTATCCTTAGCTGACAGGAGCTGGGAGTGGCACCCGGTGTGCTCTTCTGCTGCTGTAGCTATCTGCTTCAAGGTTCGAAGTGTTGTGTGTTCAGAGATGGTATTCTGCATACCTTGGTTGTAACGAGTGGTTATTTGAGTTACTGTTGGCTTTCTGTCATCTTGAACCAACCTTCCCATTCTCCTCTGAACTCTGATATCAACAAGGCATTTTCGTCCATAGAACTGCGGCTCTCTGGATATTTTCTCTTTTTTGGATCATTCTCTGCAGACCCTAAGGATGGACGTGCGCGAAAATTCCAGTAGATCAGCAGTTTTTTAAATACTCAGACCAACCCATCTGTCACCAACAACCATGCCACGTTCAGTCACTTAAATCCCTTTCTTCCCCATTCTGATGCTCGGTTTGAACTTCAGCAAGTCGTCTTCACCACATCTAGATGCCTAAATGATGTTGCAGTTGCTGCTTACCTGGTTTTGGCTGATTGGCAAATTGTGTTACCAAGCAATTGTACAGGTATATCTAATAAAGTGGCTGGTGAGAGTATATTGAGCAGGCTTCACAAGTACAATTCACACCAGAATAAGTCATTAAAGGTCTCCTATTCTGAGGGAATATGGATATGGAGGCTGTTACTGTTGACCACTCCTGGAAATTCTAGGTGCCTGATTGATGTGCTGATCCAGTGGTTTCAGTAATTTCTTAGTTACTTATCTGGAACACGGAAGCAGATCAGATTTGACTTCAATCTATTTTTTTTTTTTATCATTCCAAATCCAGAGCAGTGTCTCAGAAAGTGTTGCAGACAGACCAACAATTCGTATTTTTAGAAGAGGGTTACATATGTAGGCACAAGTTGTCTTACAGGCCAAGATCATCTTTTACAGAATATAGCCTATACAGTCAAGGTTCCCAGAAGGTAATAAAAAGTTTTTCTTCCCAATCAGTTGATCACGGTGATTGGCTGTCACATGATTAGGAGCAGGTCCCGCTGGCTCCCAATTACAAATTGTGACCGGGAGCTGTTGGTGACAGCTCAGTCAGTGTGCTCTGAGTGCACTCTCAACACAAAAACTTGAGGACGCATTGGTGTGGCAGGGCAAGCGGGTGTTAAGACCCACTTGCCCTGCTGCTGTTTGCATAATGTCAGTAGGAAGACGTTAACAAATGGTGACTAATAGAGTTGAAATTCCTGTAGGCCATTTGCACCCACCCCTCAGAAGAATGGCTGAAATTCTCTTATAGATTTGTGTCCTGTCCTGTTGCTAGGACAATGTAGCTGCTGGAAGCTCATCCCTAGCATCAGTGGAGTGAGTGCGCTTCCTCACTAGAATCCACATCAATGTCTCTACTTGCAGCATCACAGAGCTCAGATGGGAGATTTTCAGCCAGGCTTCTGGGGGACCTAAATGGCCTACAAGTACGTTTAACTTAGTCAACTTTTTTAAAGCTGCAGAATTTTTCGTACCTCATGAAGACCCTGTATAGGCTATTTTTCCTTAAAAGGTGAACTTTAAATCTTAAATCCAGGCTAAACTATTTTCTAAACGCAAGAGCCATTTGTATTCCTACATGGTGTCTTTTATTTTTTTTTTTGCAGATCTGTGCAGTAATCCAGCACGGGTCAGCTCCTGTCAGACAGTCACTGTTGCTCTCTCTCTTTACGTAGGGTGATTGGTCTTGCATCTGAACCTCTCCTGTAATTTTCTACAGGCAGTCTGCACTAGCTGGTATGAGCTGGGTCCCCCTCACAGTGCTGTTTTCTGAATAGGCTATGTACAGCATAGTGATGATGATGATACCTTTACAAGGTAATAACTGGGCTGGCAAAAGACTACAGTGAACAAAAAGTGTTTTTTATTTCCTTTGTGTTGTTTTAAGAGTATTTTTAAATCAAAGCCTTTGTGCCCAGAGGTCAGCTTTAAAAGGAAAACTTCAATTTCATTAAAAATGGAGACTATGTTTTCCCATTTAGTTATACTGATTATGTACCATTATGCATATTTATTTGTTTAAAAAGGTTTAGGGAACTCTAGCCATAAGCACAAGGATCTACTTTAAGGACAGCTATTGAAGAAACCTAAAGGAAATGTGCAGTGCACCACTGTCTCTTCACTTTTAATTTCTTCGACTTTCTTCTTTCCACCTTTGCCATCCTTTTCCCATCATCTAGGTTTTTTTTGTTATGTTGTGATATATTGCATTATCTTCCTGTTTTTGTGTCTTAACAATTTTGACATATACGATTCTTATTCTATTCTCACTCATCCATCTTACCAATCACACCCTTCTCTGCCATTCCCTCCACTGGCTTCCACTAGCCCTGGGAATAAAACCCAAAATACTAACAACTCTATCCACAGCCACATCACCAACCTCCTTTCAAAATATCACCCATTCCGCCCAACACTTCCGGCTCTCTAGCTCTTTTTGTCGCCTCCTTCCATGCTCACACCCAGACTTCTCCAGAACCTTGCCCCAATCTGTCTAGCGATCTCCTACTCCCCCCTTTTAGGCAATCCCTGAAAACTCATCCTAACTGCCTCCACCTAAAAACAGAACTTCTACTGTCTATATCAGTTCATACTCCACAGTTATGACCTTTTAGATTGCTTGCCCCTCCCCTGAAGACTGCAAACTCTAATGGGCAAGGCCCACCTAATCAATGTCTTGAATTCTTAAGATAGTCATACACTGTTCAAATATTGGCTGATTCCTGCTTGCCTCAGTTCAAGCAGTGTATGGCCTGCTGGTACTGCTCTGTTTGAACAAAGTTGTTTGTTTAATTGAACCTTGTTGAAGGAGCCTGTCAGAAAATTGTTGGCCAAACATTACCTGAATCCACTTGGGCACTATGCGGGTACTGACAGGTGATCAGCAGTGAGTTCCATCCATTTGAACTGTTAGCATAAATGGAGGAATCGGTTTGATTTTTTTCATTCAGCCGGAAGGCGTATGGCCAGCTTAACTGTACTGCCTCCCTTCCTGTCTCGCTGCATAAACTGTTGCCGCTATATAGATCCTGTAGAGTAATAAAAATGCTAGTAAAATAAATGCTCTGTAAAACATAGACTCACCATAATGTTGGCTTTGTTTCTACAATGGGAGATGCCATGAAGTTACTGGACAGTTGTGTGACTTAATCCCATCACAGCCACAAACACTTCACTGTGACAAATTTGCAGCATTCATTGTGCGGTAGCATATCTTTCCCTTCAACTGCAAAGTCAAGCACAGTTAAAACAGTCAATGTAAAGTATTCTGCAAACTGCTTACTTATGATTAAAATGATATCCACTAGATCATTTATTGGTGGATTAAAGTGGGATGGATTAACCAGCTATCAGAAGCTCTGGGGACCAGGCCTCTCAAGCCTCAGTTACAAACAAACCCATCTGCTAGGACCACAAGGGCGAAAATCTCGGTCTTTGTGCTGAGTTATGTATTTACAATGTAGCAGGAGTGAGATTATACCTCTGGTATCCCCCCGAAAAATATAAAACAAACTTATGCTTTTCCCATTCAGGGCAAAGCAACAGGTTTGATTTAATACACCATCCTCCGCATATACTCACCCTTTCTTTGCTTCATTTACAGAGGGGAGCCAAAGGAAACACCCAAATCTTCCAGGTATGGAGGAGCATGTGACTCATTCCCTCGTGACAGAACTTTCACAAGGGAGGCCGTAGCCCTGTCCAAGCTATGATTCCCGTAACTCATAGCTTACACAGGTCTTCCCTTCCCTGACAGTGGCTGACTGAAGTGGCGGGTGAGAGAAGTAAAGGTAAGTATACACCGCTAGAGAGAGCTAAGTTGAAGTGAACCTGTCAAAAATCTTAAATGTGAACTCTGGGGAAAAAAAAATCCTCTTTCAATGGGGCTGCCCCCCACACTGGAAAGGTTAAATACTAATTTATGGACGTGGAAAAGCAGTATCACTATCCCAGGCCTCTGTTCCCACAGGCTCCTCTGTAGTGCAAGGCCTGTCCCCACAGCGTCTTTCCCTCTATACTTTGGCAGCTGGATGCATCTGGACAGATGCAAGGTCCACAGCCCTGCATTAGAAGGGAGGACGCTAAGGATCAGTTCACAGCCTGAGCATAGGGGAGCACCATCTGTCAGGGAAGTGTATAATCAGATACAACTGCTTTCCCTTCCCCTAGGCCAACTGCAAATAACTCATGCAGTGCGGCGGCACCCCCCCCCCCCCCCCCCCCCCTGCAAAGAAGATTTCTTACTTTTCCCAAAATTGAGCCTAAAAGGTAGTGGGAGGGTCCAACTCATCCTTCAACATTAATCAAAAAGAAGTGGCAGGAATTAGGGGGGGGCAACACATCCACATTTTTCTAGTGGCATACTAATCCAGCTATTTCCAGTATTTAATTTTTGAGCACTGGCTTTGTTCATTTTGGCATTTTTTTTTTTTTAAGTGTGTTTGTACAAACATTTTCGGGAGTACGCTTTATTATTCAGGCCAGTTAAAAGCAGGTTACTACAACTGATTGGGAGGAGACCATTGCTAGGCATGAAAATGTATTGTATTTCTTTGGCATATAACTCAGGTATGAACGGGCCCCGCAGAACAAAATTGAAATCTGGTGTCAAAGGACAAAGTACTAGTTCAAATGGCTCAAATGACTCAGGTGTGAAAGGGGCCTAAGCTACGATGTGCAGATATACTGTATAGGCAAAAAAAAATGGATTTCTATTTGACATGCATTTTATTGCAGAGAAATTAGTTTTGTCGCATGAAAACAGACAATTGTGCAGAGGCCCCAATTACAACGTTGCATCTCAACATGTGTTACAATGGGCTAAAATGCATTTGTCCAACCCACAAAAAAAAAAAAAAATAGTCCTTTTTTACTATATTTTAGTAAGTTGAAAGGCCTATGCAATTCAACAGCGACATATCAAAACACATATAACATGGCCAATAGCTGCCATATACTGTTCAGTTTTTTTCATTCATCCAGTGGGCTGAATGAAAAAAAAAATTGAACTGATTCCTCCACCCAAACATTCAAGATGGATAGGGGCATCCTCCCTGCTGTACTATTGTATTCTGACAGTGGAGGAGTCTCCCCGCTGTCAGAATACACAGATCAGAGCTGATCGAGTGTCTTTTATCTGACAGAGAGGTTGAACAGAAATTGATTGATAGATAAACTTCTGTTCAACTGCAGTGGCAAGCATGGATCAAAATCCGCCTGGTCCTTGCTGGACCAGATGAATTTTGATACATCTATGACGACCTTAACTCTATCAACTCTAAATTATAAATTTCAAATTGCAGGGAAAATGCACATCAACATGAATGTCATCACATCTACCTAACATGAAAAAAAAAAAGTGCCTCTACACACATGCATTAATCTAAATGGGCCCTAAAGCATAAATACTACTATATTTATAAACAAGAAACAGCATGGGTAAAATGACTATCAACTACAACCACTCCATGGGTTACATAGAATAAAATAATATTTATTTTTGTATTTAAACAATACCATGCATTAATCAGATTATTGTCTTCAAGCTATAAAAATAGAAACCTATTCAAATCAGAGATCTGTGGAGTGCTATGACAGGCCCCAAGGAGACAGTGATCCTGAACATACAGCCCCCATCATCCAGTGTACACCTGTGCAGTGCCCCCATATTAAGTTGAAAAGAACTTTACATGAGATCCTGACAAGCCCCCATTCGGTGCCGCGAGTGATCACATGTGAATAGTCTGCACTCTTTTCCTTGTCTATCTGCATCATAACATCATCTCATATATTGCACCAACCTCACGCGACAGGTGAGCGCAGTCGCCTTCACAGCATTTCCTCACCATCCACCCAAACCAGTCAGCCTGGAAACACCAAAGGAAGAGAAGACAAGTCAAGATCACATCAATGATCACAAGACACAATTCGCGTGATTCCTCCCCCTCCCCACTTAGCCTGTAATATTACAAACACACCAGTAGGTGGAGCACACGCACTGGTCTATGTTACTGGCAGGATGTAAGGGAGCTCTCAGCTAATTATAGTGGCTGATTTACTAAAGAAGGAGAATCTACACTGAAAATATTGTGTTAGTATTCACCTCAATTATCTAATCATATGAAAAGTATCTGCACATGCCTGAGTAGTAAGAGTGAAGTGTAATTTGCTTTTCACATTTTTCAGTGAGGATTCTCCCCTTAGTAAATCCTCCTCCCTCTGTTCTCTCTGCCCTGTCTTTACGATACAGAATTTTATCAAGGTACAGTATACAAATGTGCACTGTATCTACATCAAAGAAGCAACCCAACTGCTTGTGTTATACCTGCCAGTGGCTACACACTTCCTTCCTCTATCTTCCCCTAATTATCCAACCACAACATCATTGACTTAATTAGACAATAAATCCAATGACCACGTCCAGATTTAAAATGAGAAGAGCACATTGGGGGAGATTTACTAAAACTGGAGCGCTCAGAATCTGGTGCAACTGTGTATGGTAGCCAATCAGCTTCTAACTTCAGTTTGTTCAATTAACCACTTGCCCTCCTGAGGATTTACCCCCCTTCCTGACCAATCCATTTTTTGCGTTACGGCGATGCATTAATTTAACGGACAATTGCGCGGTCATGCAATGCTGCACCCAAATTAAATTTCTGTCCTTTTTTCCCCCACAAATTGGTCTTTCTTTTGGTGGTATTTGATCGCCTGTGCGTCTTTTTTTTTTTTTTGCACTAAAAAAAAAAAAAAAAGACAATTTTGAGAAAAAAAATATTTTTGACTTTTTGCTATTAAACATGTCCAGTAAAAAAAAATTAAAAAATCAAATTTCGTCATAAATTTAGGCCAAAATGTATTCTTCTACATGTCTTTCCTAAAAAAAAATCCCAATATGTGTAAATTAATTGGTTTACGTGAAAGTTAGACAAATGACGGGATATATACTGGAATTTTTTTACTAGTAATAGCAACTTATAGCGGGACTGCAGCGGGCATTCTGACACTGGAGGGAACTGACTAACTGCCACTGACAACCCAATGACACTAATACAGTGATCAGTGCTAAGAAAAAGCACTGACACTGTACTAATGACACTGGGCAGGAAGGGGTCAACATCTGGAGCGATCAAAGGGTTAACAGTGTGCTGTTTTACATGAAGTGCTGTGTGTGTTTTACTAGGTATGAACTAACAGGATAAGGAAACAAGCTTTTTGCTTTGTCTATGCTTTGGGCAAGGCTGTCCATTCCAGCCCAACACATCTGGTGAGAATAGGCCCCTACCTACTTGTTGGCAGTCATTTTAATGGCATTATACTGAAATCAATGTAATGCTAATAGGATAACTGTCTGCATGTAAATGTCTCAGTGGCAAAGATTCAAAATTTGAGTGGGGCTGTGTGCTGCTCAGCTATTCACGGGAAGCCTTGTACGCTTAGGCTCCATGCACACGGGGCGTTTTAATAACGCTTGTAACGTTAGCTGTGTAAAGTCATGTTAAAAACGTGAGTTTTTCAGTGTTTTTTTTTTTAGCATTTTTGTATTAGCGTGTACCAGCATTTTGCCGCATTTTTTCCGTGTTTGCGTTTTTTAGCGTTTTTTTTTTACAAAAAAAAAAAAATTGTTTGGGGTAAAAAAAAAAAAACATCCAGGTTTACCGCGATTTGCACCGTTAGAGCATTTTTACAGCTAAAAAACTCCTGTAGAAGCCCTGGGTTTTGTAAAAAAACATTGATTACAGTCTGTGTGCATGGACACATAGGATAACATGCTGGGGAGTTTACTGGCTGCAGGAAAAAAAGTCAAAAGCCAAAAACAGCAGCTGTAAAAACATCCAGTGTGCATGAGGACTCATCAATGAATACAAGGCTTCCTCTGGTTGTGGTAGGGATCAGAACATAATCGGCCCGCTTCTCCACCTCAACCAGTCTGTGAAATCCTTGTATTCATTGGAAAGATGCAAAGCTATCTGTGAAAGGCGGGAATTGATCGATGAATTGATTTTGCTCAGTGAATGGGATGGAAGTCCCTGTTGGCAGCCGGCACACAGTGCTCTTTGCTTTATATAGCTGATGCAGAGCTGACAGCAGCTACAATTCTTAGTGAAGAGAATTGTTTGTTTGA